TCAGAAAAACCTTGTAGAGGTTCTCTTCTATGTGTTCTTCTTATATACGTGGTACCGTAGGTACATGTAAATTCATTCATCCAATCAAAGGTGACATTGAAATGGAATCGATCTACCTTTAAATGGTATAACGAATACTTGGTGTTGTATAGTGAACTCAAGCGAGTATATCAACGAAGATTTTTGTCCGTGCCATCTTGTTACTTCTTGAAATCTCATCTTCCTTGAATGAAAGAATGATGAAGACAGGAATCTCGCAAACATTTAGTTGTTTACCATCTCAAAGATGTTCTTTTTCATATTTTGCAATAAATTTCTTCAGACATTTATTTTTTATAGGGAACTTAACTAGAATAAACAACTCATTTGAGCATAATACACTGTTAGGATATTCATTAAACATCTTAAGAGAATTATTTTCGTAAATCTAGTTCTATTGGTCAATTCTTACTGGTCAATATTATGGTCACCTGAACTGTCAATGTCACGTGCTTCAATTTTGTTTCCTATTCGACATAAATGTGAAAATACTCATTATCTGTAACGTTTTATGACCCGGATCCTCAGTCCGGGATCCTTATCCTCTTCTGGACCCGGACCTCGTACTTTTAGAATGCTTATAGAATACAGGTTCAACTTCAGAGAAAGTCTTCATCTTTCACTCAATGGGGGGTTGCGACACTCGGATGAGAGTAGCGTGTCTTGTCACCGGATCCTCGATCCTCACTCTTGTTCACCGACTAAGGTGAACTCGTAATAATTCAAGCATATCAAAATGACATGTTTTACGTGCATACGTAACACCCTCTAGCTCTTTTGAAAAGTATTTTGATCAGAAATGGTTTAATTCTGCACTGAAACAGTAATTTAATAGTATATCATCTGTTTTAGCATGTTTAAATCCACTTACGATTGTTTTAACATTGTTTTATAAAAAACTGTAGAGCAGTGAAATTCCAGCAGAATGTACAGGTTATTTAATCAGTTCTCGCGTTTACTAATTGCACATCATTTGGCCTTGTCACTTATTCGCTTATAACCTTGTTTGTTTTTAATCGAATGTGTGAGTGTGCACTGTTTGCTTCGTTTATCCCATGTCTATTACACTATTACAGGGGAGAAATATGCACTTAATTCTCAAAGATGCAATTAGTTACTCAATTATAAGTAAGTAGTTTAATTAATTATCGGAAAATAAATGGAATATCGAATACATGAAGGTCTAAGTCACAAATAAAATTAATAACAGATTTTATGCGAACTAACATGAAATTACAAATCTAATTTTCTTATTAATTAAGAGAATACATCAATACATCATAATGACTACTGCTGCTAAGAATAAATTGATCGAATCGATTAATTCATTTGAGAAATTGATCTCTAAATGAATTCCGATGACTTCTTGATTTAATATAGTATGTTGTGATATTTTTTAGAAAATTATGATATGATATTTAAACAATTTAGAAATTACGATCTGAGTGAAAACTGCTTGTAACAAACACAAGTATGGGTCTATGTTACGCACACACGTAAAATAAGTCATTTTGATATGCTTGAACTATTACGAGTTCACCTTAGTCGGTGAACAAGAGTGAGGATCGAGGATCCTGTGACAGGACACGCTACTCTCATCCGAACGTCTCAAACACCCAATGAGTGAAAGAAGAAGAACTGATATGAAGTAGAACCTGTATTCTACACCCATCCAGAAAGTACGAGGTCCAAGTCCAGAATAAGGCAAGGTTACCGGACTGAGGATTCGGGTCCTGGTCATAAAACGTTACAGCTAATGCGTATTTATACATTTAGGTCGAACAGGAATAGCATCGAAGTACGTGACATTGACAGTTAGGGCAACCAATAAGAAAAAACATTTGAAGTGACACTGATAGCTAGGATGACCAATGGGAAACAATATTGAAGTATGTGACATTGACAGTTAGGACGACCATAAAATTGACCAGTGGGAATAAACCAATAGGAATTGACCAATAGTTCTCTTAGGATATTGGATGAAAAATTCTAACAGTCTACAACGCGACAACAAAATCATATCACTTTTCTGCAATAAAATCAAAGTTCTTAGGTGATTGAAATGTTATCGAACCCCTTGAATGTATTAGAAGTAGACAGCCAATAATTCTATGACTTGACAGTATTCCAGATACCAAATAATCGTGATAATTCAACTTTTAGAAGACCAACTGAGATCCCAATGTGGTGTTTTCCAAAAAAATCATATTTTCAGTTACAAAATCAGCAATGTACTAAAATCAAACTGCTCACCCGCAGTAACACCACGACCGGCTCTCCTATCTGCTTTTGGACTGGATTTATCATCAAAATGTTTCGGTCGATCATGATCAGTAGGTTGAGGCAGAGGAGGAGGTGGATGACGACGTGATCTTTCAGGTTCTAGATTTTTAAAATTTACAAAAAAAACCAAAGATAATTTCTAACTAATCTCTGAACCTTTCACAAAATATCGACAACTCAGTTTGAACTTTGATAAACAATCAAAAAACTGTTCCATCTTATGGAGGGGTTATGGAGATTGTTGAATGTTATACTTGCCACCAGTTGATATGCTTGAATGCTATGACGAGTTCACCTTAGTCGGTAAACGGGAGCGAAGACAAATGATCCAGCGACACGATAGGCTACTCTCATCCGAACATCCCAAGGCTCCACTAAGTAGAGGAAGAAGTCTTGACAAGACGTAGAAAGTGTATTCTAAAAGCACCCAGAAAATCGAGGTCAACAAGCACATAAATCGAGTTTATTTATACACGATAGAAACATCCTTGGGAGAGCCCCGAATATAGCGTACTAACATAGTACATCAACCAATAAGAGCCAAAGATTTTCCGGGGGGGAAATGTAATCACAATGTCAACTGATCAGCCTATGTGCGAAAGCATAAAATTCAAAATTAAGATCAGTGTAAAGTGAGTTCTGGGGATCTAACATCTCCAACAATGAGTTTCTGATTGAAATTATGAAGCGATCAATGTTAGACTACCATTTGAAGACTGGGAGCACTGGATAGCCGTCTCACTTTGGTATGGAATTATTAAACAGTGCGCATCCACAGCGCTGCACCTCACAGGACTCGGACCGAGGACCTTTGGTCATGTGCGTGATTGCCTAACCTCTGGACCACTGAGCCGGTCGGCATCAAACGCTGTTAATGTCTAACTTCGATCAATCAATAATCTTGCGCAACCTTATCCATTGTCTTCAGTGAGCATGGCTTCACAACCAAACATGGTTAAACTCCACTGGTCACGAATTTTCACTAGAACTTGAAGAAACTTTCTCACTGAGCTAGTCACTGGTGAGTACATAATAATTTGCATGAAGTGACTGTGTAGGTTGTTGAGTTACTTTTTTTTTTTCTACATATTCTGTTCAGTAAATTTTAATTCCAATCCCATATAAGTAGTATGTGCAGTTTATTCAAGACAGTTTCCTCTTGTCCTATAAATCTTATTTCATGAAAATACATTGATCGATTCTTGGTTTCAAAATGTGTAACTTAACAATCTTCCCAACCCTGTAATGCAAATTACCTGTGCTCACTAGTCACTAGCTCCGTGAGGAATCTTCTCCGAGTTCTAGTGGGAAGTCGTGACCAGTGAAGTTAAACTATGTTCGGGTGTAGACAGTAACTAACGAAGACAGCGAATGAGGTTGTGCAAGACCGTGAATCGATCGAAGTTAGACATTAACACCATTAAATGCCTGCTAAGTGGTCTACAGGTTAAGCATTCGCGCCCAAGACCGGAGGTCCTGGGTTCGAATCGTGCGGGGTGCAGGAGTCATGGATGCACACTGCCACTGACGAGTCCCATACCAGGACGAAACGTCCATGCAGTACTTCCAGGTTCCTAATGGTGGTCTAACATTGATCGATTCATGATTTCAAAATGAAAAACAATTTAATTCAATATGGTTAAGCATCAAAATAACTATACTATTTGACTTGCCTACATTGAACTTTGAACGTTTATGTACCTATCTATCTATCTGTCTATCTATTTATCAACTTAATTATGCATAAATCAGAATTTATTGATGTAAGTAGTTTAAAGTATTAATCGTATGACATTTCGATCGATGTACTAATGATAACCTTGAAATAACTAATTTAAGTAATAATGTGTTGTCTTATGGCCAAAGTCAAATACCAGATATGAATGATTAGAATCAGAATAAGAAAGTAAAAAAATTTTTCTGAAATAAGGAATGATATGACTGTGAAACGTGTAATAAGAAAGTTTTCTTTTTCAGTAATTGATAACAACTAATCAAGGGGATTCAGGTATATCAACCAGTTAAGATGAATCCCAATTGTTAGGTAAAGGGGTACTAGGTAAGGAGAGCACATCAACAGATGAAATATTGATACGGTCGAACGTTTGCTGGGTAGTCTCTGTCCACGTAAACCTAGTGCCGCTTAACAACTTATAGAAGGGTGCTGCTTCTTCGTTAAAGTTCGACTGAGATGGTTAGGACGTGTGTTACGAATGCCCAACCACCAGACTACCTCGTCGAGCAATGTTTTTTGTTGTTGTAGGGGTAGATAAACTAAAATAAGTCACTAACAATTGGACTGAACCATGTTAGTAAGTGTAAATTACCAACCTGGTTGAGGTATGCGAGACCGATGATTAAAGAGTTTGAGTGACATGGTCCAAAATCGTTTGCAATTGCACAAATGCATCCACTCATTGTTTTCTCTCAAATTCTAATCTTCCAAAATTCTTCATCACCTTTTTCTTTCTCTCTATAAATTTACCTCACTGGGATGAAACTTCTGGAACCATATATTTACAACCCTAATCTTCTCCACTACCACTAATACTTCGACTACTCCTACTACTGTAGTGAATGAGAACACAGGTGGGGCAACCGAATTGTATTTAACGAAAATTACAGAGTTACTCAGTAAAACCAGAGTAAAACCATATCGTAAATCGTTCATTTGCAAAATATCAGTTCATCATATCGAACTGGACTGTTCCTGTTGCCAAACATCAATCCATTGTCACTATTCATGCGTTTCATACAAATTCCATTGTTTTCTAACTCTGCCTTTCTTGATCTTCCCCCCATATTATGCTACCAGACTTTACGTTGACACTCACGTTATATACTACTTATGAGTACTTATAAGCACCACACTACTACTATGATATTTCAATTGATATTTCGATCTCTGTGTGCAAATGTGGTGGAATGGCAACTTGAACTGATGTACATGCACGTACGAAGTTCTACGTTGTAGCTGACTGACTATCATCATTATTATTTTCAGTAATATAACATTCTGCAGTCAAATCTTAATTAGTAGTAATGATGTTTGTAATGTTTTTCCGATAAAACTCTCGAATAAGAACTGTGAAAATAAAGTTGATAGAGATGACGAATTGGCACTGTGTTATGTTCGTCACTTGCTACGCTTGAAGCTATTACGAGTTCACCTTAGTCGATAAACGCGAACGAGACAATGAACCAGCGTCTAGGTAGGCTACCTTGAATCCCAAAACTGCAAAACAGAAGACTTGATAGGCGTAGAAAGTATATTCTACAAACACCCAGAAATCACAATACAATCAAGCACACACAGCTCTCGTTTATTTACACATCCGAGAAACGTCCTTGGGACAGTTACGAAAATAGCACACTAAAATACACAGCCGCCAATCACAGCCATGGATATTCTTGGGTGAGAAATGAAATCTCAAGGTCAACTGATCAGCCCATGCTTGCAAACGTAAAATCCAAAATTGAGGCATTTATCAAACGAGTTCTGGAGATCTAACATCCCCAACACAGTGTCACACGAAATATAAGCTACTGCATGCTTAGCCACAGTATGTTAGCTAGCATAGAAGTAGGTAGAAAAAAGGGCTAGTTCATGGAACGATAATCATGTCAGGTCATGAAGTAATCGACTGTTAATTTCTAGTCTCAGAGGATAGTTGAGGTGTTCTTAATCATGGTTATACTAAGTAAACTGTAATCGGTCTTCAGTGAATAGGGTCAGTTACTTTAGGACTAAATTTTCTGTGTCCAATTTTTCGTTATCGTTGACGGATAGTCCGAATAGTCCATGAAAGACATATGATCAAAGAGAAGATGGGTTGAACATAGCTTGAGGTCAACGTCTGGCGGTGGCCAAACTAAAGTATTAGATAGTTGGATAAATAACATTGTAAAAGTTTGATGCAGCAATTCTTCAAGATGCTGAAGAGCTTAGCGTGGTCCTCTGTAATAAGATCTACCAGAAGAAGAGGAAACCCGTTTGAAGAACTTCAGTAAACACCGTCATAAATAAAGAACCCGTCTAGATAATTTTAACCGCCAGCCAAATGGTAACTATCTGTTAGAATATTCGCAAACTATCCTTCGAAGAATCATTTTGTAAGTGTAAATTCTATTGGTCGATTCCTACTGGTCAATATTATGGTCATCCTAGCTATCAATGTCACGTACTTCAAATGTTTTTTCCTATTGGTCACCTTAACTGTCAATGTCACAGACTTCGATGCTGTTTCCTGATTCTATTCTGGACTCGAACCTCATAATTTCTGGATGTTTGTAAAGTCCAGGTTCTACTTCACATCAAGTCTTTTTCAATCGGATTAGAGTAGCATATCGTGTCACCGGATCCTCAATCCTTGCTCTCGTTTTCCGACTGAGGTAAACTCGTTATAAGTCAACCATATCAAACTGACATGTTTACCTGCGTACGTAACACTATCACAAAAAGTTTTTAAAGGCTTTTCAGCGATTCATTTCAATCATTTTCAATTAGAGTTATGGAGATTAGTGTTTTTCAAACATATGAAACCATCAATCAATTATTGTTAGACCACCATTAGAAACCTGGAAGTGCTGGACAGCCGTTTCGTCCTGGTATAGGACTCATCATTGGCAGTGCGCATCCACGACTCCTGCACTTCGAAGGATTCGAACCCGGGAAATTCGGTGTCGTGAGCGAATGCCTAACCATTAGACCACTGGGCCGGTGGTATCCAACTGTGTTCATATCTAACTCTGATCAATCTAGGGTTTTTGAGCGACCTCACCCATTTATCTTCGGTAGTTACAGCCTAAACTCAACAGGGCTGAACTCCACCGGTCACATCTTCTCTCACTAGAACTCCGAGAATTTTGCTCACGAAGCTAGTCACCACTAGTGAGCACATTTTACGATATTTTCGGGCAGAGTTATCTCTATGAAATCAATCACCTTACACAGAATAATAATAATAATAATAGCAATACAAATGTACTTAAACCATCATTCAACTTACTTTTCTCTTTATATTTATCATAATGCCTAATTGGTGGTTGTTTACGAGTGGAACCTTGACTAGTTTTACCAAAAAGACTACTATCATAAGATAATTCTGATGTAAAATCCATAAATGGTTTTTGTTTCTCAGCTTCAGCTAAATAATTGTACTCGTCTGGATGTTGAAGAATATCATAATGAAATGTGGCTGATGATCGCCTCGGATCGAATGATACTGGTTCACCATGCGTACCATGAGGCAATAATTCATCATCGTATAGTTTCGGTCGACTTTTTCTTTTCTCTAGCTCATCATCAAGATTCCGTGTGGATTGTCGGATAGGAGTTGTTGGCATAGCTGTAATAAAGGATAAATATGAAGTAAATGAAAGATATTTATAACCGATTCATTAAGCCCTTATAGGGTCACTGCCGGTCTCAAGTTAGGCGGATAAAAGAGGAGCGTTGGGCATAGGGTTAGAGACCCCAACCGACAGAAATCCAACTTGCTGAAAAAAACCGCTAACCAGAAAAATAATTTGCTCGTTGGCGGCCTATATTACATTGAGGGTAACAGGAGTAATATTACGCTCATCTCTAGGTATGCTTAAACTAATGCAAGATCACCTTAGTCGAATAACGAGAACAAAACAATCAACCAGAGTCCAAATAGGCTACAGTGATCGCTTGACCAAAAGGTATCACAGCAAGAAGTCTTGATATAGCATAAAAAGTGTATTCTACAAACACCCAGCCAGCACACAATACATCCAAGCACACAAATTGCGTTTATTAATACTCTATAGAGACATCCTTGGGACAGTCACAAAAATAGCACACTATAATGACACAGTAGCCAATCACAGCCAAGGATTTTCCTGGTGGGAAATGTAATCTCAAGGTCAACTGATCGGTCCATGCAATAAATCCAAAATGAAGATATTTATCAAGCGAGTTCTGGGAACCTAACATCCTCAACAAGTAAGTAAGTAAGTAAGTAAGTAAATGACAGCTACAAAAATTTCAATCTACTTGATAAACAAACACATATCAGAGTTTCAATGATCAATATTTGTACTAAAAGCTATGCTTCAAATTGAACAGTATTCATAATAAAACTTTCTATAAATTTCCCGAAATCCTAGTAGTGAGTGCAGAAGGATTAAAATGGGATTCAAACATACCTGACGATCATAAGCCAGACATTGTGAAAATATGTTGTCAATAGAGTTTGTATCCTGTTCTTACATTTAAAACACACTAAACTTTGGTTAATTTATGTTATGTCAGTAATAGTATGGTGGATGCTGTGTTCACGATGTGTGTTTAGGTTATAAATTGCTTTGGTGCTGCATGCCGATAATCCAGGCTGTCAACCTTCGCTAGCAGCCGAAAGACCTCGAAATCTCAAGTCGCCTTCAAGTTAGCAAAGTTTACCCTGTCGCAAGCAACCTTCGCCCGACTCCAAAACAGCCTCTTCCTAATGCAGACCGACAAGTTCCGTTTTGTCCTCAAATCGATGCAGAAAACTCCTAGTATCTTCATCCTTGAACGGCTGCAGCCATGACACCTTCCAAGCAGCGACACTAAATGTGATATACAAAGAAGTCCAGACCAGATAGAACATTTTGTATTTAGAGAGAATATAATCTACCGACAAAATATGTTCACTTTATCTTCAGTTTTCCATTTACAGACCAAGCAGATTATTAAACGGTCTTCTCTCCCAACTTTGTCGAGGCGGACAAGTCTTGTGTCTATTTTAAATAGATTCCCAAATTGAATATCAATCTTCAAGCGATCCATATGTCAACATCAATTACAGAACTTCTAAGTGAGTCCTATCGATGTTGACAAAGGCAAACTTAATAACATAGTGGTACAGTTATCAGTCACTGAGCATACAACTTGATTTTGCATCGACGAAGAGATTTATTTTAGGATATCGATGTATAACAGTGTATTTACAAATATACGATCCAAGGTGGTAGTTATCGAGGTAGTTCAATGCAAATGTCTGGTCACACTAGACTTTAGTAGCTTAAAAATCCCCATAGAAAATGTTTTTAGTTACTTGGCCATCAGGCTGTACGGTTTTACATGTATACAAAGGTCAAAAATAAAATGTGCACTAACGAATTAGATAATCTGTCACGGGATAAGTACTGCATGATTGTGTGATTTGTAATCTAGAAAGGTCATGTAATCAAGGTCAGAATGATTCATTGTAAGGTGTCAAGTTATAATCAATAATAATCGTGTGAATAAAATGTATAGTGGGAGAATATGCCAGGATGTTCACTATCTACCAAAAGATGATGGGGTCAACAAATTTCATGACTCCTATTCTCAACCATGCCGGTATACATTCTCCAACAGGCAAAGAAAATGGCCTCTGGATACGGTCTATATTACCAGTTTCAGAGGAACTGTTAAATTGGTATACACACATGGAGGAGCCCATTATCAGTGAGATATCAACCTCAAACCGATGCTCGCTTATACTTTTCTAGTCAAACTTGAAAATGAACCGTTGTTGATAGACATCCTGAATAAGTTAGGTTAATAATATTGTCGATACTCGGATGACATGGTCATTGTATATGACAAAAGTATCAACAAACAAGAGCTGTTGAACAATTTCAGTAACTAGTGAACAGGAGAATGATAAAAGTATACCTTTCTTGATGTCTTCCTTTCTAGAAAGATAGATGATTCTATAAAGAGAAATTTATTTGGAAAGAATATATGGATTGGTTTGTATACCTATTTCCAGTCTCTTGTTTTCTTACTTCCCTCTGTGAGCACTGCAGTGTTTCTCGTCTTTAACTATAAGCGGTAGGACTGTTGACCCATAAGTGACAAAGGTGACAGGGATTAACTGATAATATGATACCACAGAAATCTAATTCTTTAAATAATATGGTTTGAATTCAAATGCACACTTTCTATCACATGTTGCAGAACGGAAGACGTGATTAAGGCACGCTTCCTCTAGATAAATTCTATTGAAGTATATATAACAATCGGCTTGAACACTTAACTTCACAGCAGGAAATAACCTGGTACGTAGTTTTGGAAAAAAATATATCTTTCATGTTGAAACATGAAAGAGGAGTGAAATAAGTTACATATTGATTTGCTACATTCGATTATTTATGTAGACAGGGTTTTACTTAATCACTAACAACTTTATACAAACAGTATTATTGTCTTATGAACAATGTGTAAAGTCTTTGAAAACTCTTTTTCATTTAGAAAAAATTTTCAGAGAGAAGCAAAGTCGGAACAATTGATGTGAAGTGAGCTGAAATAAGTTCATTTCATCTGTTCAATGCCAAATTAAATGCTTTACAAATGTAATTTTGGCGTAAAGTCATCTTGTTCACTAGTGAGATGCAATAACTGTAAATACTTTCCAAATGTATACAAGTTTATTATGTAGAACAGATTTAACGAAAGAGAGACCATGATTTAATCCAGTATGATATACGGAAATGGAAAGAATCATGTTCAGCGAGACTTATTACAATCTCACAAGTAATTCTGTTTTAATTAAACTAAGAATCTAAAGTTTTGATTCGTAATATGATTTATGGTATGGATGGGTCTTCCAATTTTTGAGAGACCCATCTCTTCCCCTCATATACTGAGGTACACTTGGTAGGATTTGCGATCTATAGAGTCTGACTATGGTTTTCTTCAAAGCTGGAAAAGAACTGCTGAAAACACAAGAGTAGTCAATACCGTTATATCGTAGTTTATGGTTCCTTAGAAGTGTGTTTTTATGATCACATAATGAACAGACTGTTTCTGAGTTTGATTTCCTCAATAATCTTTGTTCACTTGCTTGGAACATGAAATATTCTGATCATGTTAAAAAAAAGTCAAATTTACCATAACTCGGAGTTGTGCACAACACTTACATCTTGTACATAGGACTCATTTAGGCACTTGAACATGAATAATTTATGAGCTTATTGTGCAACATCTGATTGTGATTGTTACATATTTGATACATAACACATACATAATCACCTGTTTCGTTTAGTCACTAAGCTTTTTTCCGCATACTTTAAGTGATAACTTTATTGGTCATCTATAAATCTCATTTCTAACTTCAATAATGTTGATTTATTTTGGCCTACTGAATGTGATCAACCTAACATTTTCGAGTACAAGAAGGTTTCGAGGAACTTTTCAAAAGTGATTATTTCTGCGAAACTAGCCCTACTAATATATATTAGTATCAGTTATGTCCAATATTTGCAAACTAATGTCTCCATATGGACGCAATCAAGAGGGATTGTTTGCGAAGTAATCGATCAATATTTTTTTGAATAACATAAATACGCCACCAAAATTGTCACGTGAGATTTTGAAGGTCATCCTGATTGAGGAGGCAGACAAACCATGACTATTTGGCCAATCGTGTTGCATCATGAAGTAAGTAGCCAGAACACACAATAGTCTAATCGATTGAGATCGAAAATTTCGGTCAATCACATTAGTCCATTCAAGGTTATTTATGTATGGTCGTAATGTTGATTGGCTAAGCTGAATTGAACCAATCGGATGCATTGAAAGTTAGACATATGCTACTGCTATATGGCTAGCCATGCTTAACATAGTTATCCCCCTTACGAATGAAGTGTTTAAATTTCGGTGAAGTGTTAGCAGTTTTATTCCTATCAGCGAATCTTTTGATCTTTGAGCATATCGAGTGTGTGAATCGTACAAATATGTTGTTACCAAATCAACCTGCTCCTGAGTTCGCTGGTACTGCTGTTGTTGGCACAGAATTCCAGGAAATTAGCTTACATCAATTTCGAGGAAAATATGTGTTATTGGTATTTTATCCACTTGACTTGTAAGTTTTATATACTGTTCATCCATCCATTCAATAATAATTGTATACAATAGTTTACATGATGAAATTGAAATCCTCTTTGTTTTTTCCCTTTCTTTCCAGTACTTTTGTCTGTCCAACAGAATTGATTGCATTTAGTGATAAAGCAGCAGATTTCCAATCTAGAGGATGTCAAGTAATTGCATGCTCAACTGATTCAAAGTATGCTCATTTGGCATGGACAAAAATGGATCGTAAAGCCGGTGGTTTAGGTCAAATGAATATTCCACTACTGTCTGATAAGAATCTGAAAATATCGCGAGCTTACGGAGTTCTTGACGAAGAAGAAGGTCATGCATTCAGGTTGGTTTACTACTTAATTGATGAATACATACATACCTGTGCTACATTTATCATGTTACATATGACACACAGGCCTGTTACCATTAAATGTTTACACTTTGTCATATTAGTACTATAGACAAATGTTTTATTTAAAACACTGTATACTATGGGCAACTCAGTAGTTATTTCCTACTTTTTGTTAAATTGGTATGTGTAGAGTCATTCATCGGCTATGTATTCGTAAAACACATAGATCAACAATAGCTTTGGTTGGGTTTGTGGCAGTCATTCATTTTCTAACACTATCGCATTAGTTAGTTGTTTAACCCACTCGAATTTTTACCGGACGCCCTCCAGTTAACCATCGAAAGTTCTGATCAAGTAAGAATGCGTTTGTAACATTTTAATCAGTTGTTGTTGTCAGAAAAAATGATGACCAGTTTTATAGTAGTCCCATTTAAATGATTCTTTTATAAACTCAAGCCATATCTTGAGCCATTTTGCTTAGTTTGTGTCAGTCAACTGACTCCACCGGCTTTGTTCTATCTATTTCTAGAGGTATGTTCCTGATTGATCCTCATGGGATTTTGCGTCAAATTACTGTAAACGATCGCCCAGTGGGTAGATCAGTTGATGAAGCTATTCGTCTTTTGGATGCGTTCATTTTCTTCGAGAAACATGGTGAAGTTTGTCCAGCAAACTGGAAACCAAATTCAGCTACAATTAAACCAGATCCCGCTGCTTCTCTTTCCTATTTTTCGTCGGCACACTGAGAGAGATGTTTTGTACTGATGTCATATTTTAGTTAACATTAAATAATAAATGGTTCTTATTATCTGTTACAATTGTTTTTGCGCAGTTATTGTGTGGAAGATATACTGTATGTGCTCTGAACGTCAGTCACATTTGATGCTGGGAATAACAGAGGCATGGATTTTGTGTTACAACATACTACTAATTTCTTTGTTACGAAATACTAGTTTCTATGAGAGTGTGGTGTATGGTGGCTCGCCTATTTCGTCAATCCTTAAAGATTTGTCTGTACCATCTGACCACAGTCGAGAACTATGACTGTAGCTCGTCAGTAGGTTTCGTTAGACATAGTGCTTTAGTCCAATAGTTGTCGATTCGCGGTATGGATTCACGAGATTTTGGAGCAATAGATTCAACCCTTAGTATCCCTTGCGATATCATAATTGGTATAAGCTCTTCGTGCCTATGACGAAACACCCTTATCATGAACGTACAATAGAAAAATCAGAAATGTAATGAACACACGTAACCATTCGATTGTTTATTAAGAAATAAGGCACCTCACTTTTCAGACTTAAAAGATACATTCCTATTATCATTGAAGTGTTTAAGTGAAGGCATTTGTTGAGTTTCTGCATTACACTTAAGAGAGAGGATTCCCAAACCCCTTACAACCACGATTCTAATTTTAGGATAGGAGGTGATTGACGGATAGAAGATATACTTTGGTTGATTAAACGTTGCCAGTTCTACTTACTAGTCAGTCTATTTATTCCTACCTAATAGATTACAACTAACATAAGAGTATTATTACTCAATTGTTGATCTTACTAATCGTCTGTGTTTGAGGCACAGGTGATATAATTTGAGAAGAGCAAATTAAATTCAGGCGTGATATTGTGTTGTGAAGTCAATAAGTGGATGGAGCCTATTACTATTCGTCTTGTTAAGTTTCTATTCCAACTGTGCTGATATAACATGTGTCATTTCGGATCAAAATGCAAATATATATGCCGGATCCTAACAATGTTTTCTAACAGATTCAATGACTGATATATGGAAAACAAGCTTGCAATCTGAACCCCTTTGCACAAGGATTATGTTGTGTGTAGCTCTATAAAGACAATTGGTATGTATCTTCGCATAAATCAAGCTTTTCATTATACGGGCATTGAGAAACTACAAGAATTATCCAGCGTCAAACTACTGTTTACCTCATGTATCAATCAATCAGTTACAACGTAGAACTTTGTACCTAAGTACATCAGTCCAGGTTGACATACCACGTTAGCACAGAGACGCCATTGTTGATTCAAATCCCAAAGTGGTAGAGATAGTAGAATTACTACTGGTAATGGAGAAGATTAAGTTTCGAAGATATTATTTAAGAAGTATATGATTCAGTGAGATAAATTTAGAAAGACAAAAGTAGAGGTGTTGACAAATCCAGAAGATTAGAATTTGAGAGAACACAACGATTGGATGCATCTGCGCCATTGCAAACGATTTTGAGCCATGTTATTCAAAGTCTCTAACCATTGGTGACTTTCGTCTCGCGGACTCCAATCAGGTAGTCGACACCTACCAACATGTCTCAGTCCACTTGTCAGTGACTTCATGGATTGCGGCCATGTTTTGGTGTGGCCGCCCCTAACTTTCTCCCAGCCTAAACCAACACCACAAAACATTGCTCGTCGAGGCAGTCGGTGGTTGAGCATTCGTAACACATGTCCCAACCACCTCAACTGATAAAATTTCAATACTTCATCTACTGATATATGGCATATATCGAAGAGAATGTTGAACTTGTGGAGTTCAGCTATACGTTCTCTAGCTTCCGATCGAATTGCAAATAAATATAGTCTCTGTGCACATGTAATTCTAGCAAAGCATATGAGTTCCGAAAAATTAACTGAGATGATGAAGAGGTTGACAGGTTGATTTAAGCAACAGAAATGAAGATAAGGCAGTAGTTGTATAGAGATAAATGACAAGTATTTTGAATGCTATAATAAGGTTGATGTACCCTAGTTCCAACAAATTAGGTTTCTCAATTGCTGCTATTCACAAAATAATCAGATATCATTCATCTAAAATAGCCTGTACATGTATGGAGTTAGAAAAACTATCAAGCACATAAAAATCTGTTAGGTAAGTGCTATTCGCAGTGCTGCTTATAAGTAATATACGATGGAGTGTTGCCCGGAAGTCGCTACGGAAGTGAAGAGTAGTGGAGATCCGAAGGTATGGCGTGATCGAAGTGTTTTGAAGACTTGAAGACACGTCAAAGAAGGCAGTCAATAATCGGCTTATTTCGCAAATGGATATTTGAATATACGGTTAATACTTTTTGTTTGTAAACTGCATCTAATCCGTTGGATACCAACTCAGTAGTCTAAATATTGACCAGATGCTTTGATCTCTGAATGCTTAACGTTCAGTCTTTGGTAAAATTAGTAGCGCTTACTATGGAGGTGTTTTATATTAGGACAATACAGCCATCCAATACTTTCTTCTGGTTGTTCAACTAAAGGACTATCAGTAATGTATAACTTCAGAAGAGCACCAGTGTTCATTATTCAATAATTTCTTTTTAATTATTTAAAATCTCTCTGATAAAATAAACTAGTGTTATTTACTACTAAATAATACTACTTTTAGAGCGCATTATTTTGTTCATATTTTCAAATGTAATCAACTTAACGTCTGTATTAATTGGATTGCCAAACTTACCAGTTTTAGAAGTGTCTGGAATTCGTGGTCGATTAGCTGTTGCATCACGTGGATAGTGTATACCTTCTTTTGAAGTAGGCGAAAGGGGTGGTGGAGGATGACGTCTATGACCTGCGTTTTCATCGATCAATTTATCTCGTCTACTTGGTGTAGTGGTAGTAGTAGTAGTAGTAGTTATATGACGATCATCTCGATCAACTAAAAAGAAATTCAGAGAGATAATAAATATTTATTTTGAAAATATTTGTCTAATGACACTGATTACATTATGATTAAGTCTTTTTAATCATTAATCAACTTACAAGTACACTGATTTAGTTGCTTGTTTGCTCTCACCTCAGTTACTTAGTGACTTAAACTTATTACCTCACATGGAACATAAGGACGCCGACTAGTAATCGCTAGCAGCCTCTGTTCCAGACTCTCTTTTCAACTTGTTCTTCTCAACTGCTATTCATTACTTTAATGTCTGCATCGAACTCACTGAAGAATGTATTCTCTGGTCCGCCTCTTTTCTTTGGACCCTGAAGAAATGAAAATATAACTCTGAACAATATTCTTTAAAAGTCAGATGCAACGTAGAACTTCGTCGGCAGTAAGTACATCAGTTCATGTCGCCATACCACATTATTAGCACAGAGCTGTAATTGTCAATTCAAATCCAATAGTAGTAGTAGAGGTAGTAAAGGTATTAGAAGTAATCGGAGAGATTAGGATTAGAAGATATTATTCAAGAAGTATATGATTCAGTGGGAAAAGTTTAGAAAGTCAAAAGTAGAGGAGTTGAAGAATCCAGAAGATTGGGATTTGAGAGAACACAAAGAATAAATGCACCGGTGCCATTGCAAACGATTTTGAGCCATGTTGTCATTCAAGGTCTCTAACCATCGATTATTATCATCTCGCGGAATATTCTTTGAAAAATCATCATCTTTCAATTTTTAGATAATTTTCATCAATGATTGACAAAAATATATATCATGGTTTCAAAAAATGTGTAACTTAACAATCTTCACAACCCCATAATACAAATTGCCTGTGCTCACTAGTGACTAGCTTCGTGAGGAATCTTCTCCGAGTTCTAGTGGGAAGACGTGACCTGTGAAGTTTAACCTGTTCGGGTGTAGGCAGTGTCTACCGAAGACTGTCTATGAGGTTGCGCAACTCCGTGAATTTGATCAAGTTAGACATTAGCACCGTTAGATACCGGCTCAGTGGTCTAACGGTTAGGGCGTTCGCGCACGATACCAAAGGTCTTGGGTTTCGGAGCCTGCGAGGTGCAGGAGTCGTGGATGCGCACAGCTGATGAGTCCGATACCAGGACGAAACGGCCGTCATTCAGTGCTTCCAGGTTTCTAATGGTGGTCTAATATTGATCGATTCATGGTTTCAAAATCATCATTGTTCAATTTTTAGGTAATTTTCATCAATGATTGACAAAAATATATATCGGGAGTTGAACAATTGTTTTCATTTTTAAACTTTTCAACAGTCAATATTTATAATTTCATCATCATGAAGGATTGAATATTGAACAGTCAGTTATTTTATTAATTGAACATTGAGACTAATTCAAATTGAAACCTTAAAATTCGGTTTTTTCTATTCTCAGTTAAATTACTGATTTTTGTGATATATGTGAAAAAAAAATTTATTTACTCAAATTACCTGGTATTTTTTAAGAAAAAAAATTTATTATTATTATTATTATTTAGTAAACTAATTAAGTGTCAACCAGTTTGTTTGCTTATTTAGCATAAAAATTGTCTGCCAATTCTTAACTCTCTAACCTGTTTGTATTTCTAATCGATTACGTAATTAATTGACCTTATTAGGACACTACTACTACTACTACTACTCTTAAGTAGTTGAAGTATAATACACTTGAAAGTAAGTTAGCACAAAATTAAAACTCCTTCATTTAAAAAAATAATTAGTATAATTTAATTCTATTGTAGTGAAGGAGAACACAGGTGCGTGCAACCGAATTGTATTTAACGAAAATTACAGAGTTACACAGTAAAACCAGAGTAAAACCATATCGTAAATCGTTAGTTAATTTGCAAAATATCAGTTCATCATATCGAACTGGATTGACTGTTCCTGTTGCAAACAACATCAATCCATTGTCACTCACTATTCATGCGTTTCATACACAAATTCCATTGTGTTCTTCTAACTCTTCCTTTCCCTTGATCTTACCCCATTCTCTTCTGCTGCCAGACATTACGTTGACACTCACGTCATATACTACTTATAAGTAGCTCGCACCACACTATTACAACATCATAAGTTCACTCTGATTAATGCCCTCAAACATGAGAAGAAGAATAAAGCAATTGTTCCGTGTTGTGTAACTTGCAATAGTTATTCAGTCTCCAGTAACATAGAACTTGGTACATATATTATATATAACAAGTTAAGTTTCCAGACAAAAACAACAGTACAGAAATAGGAATTTAACAGGACAAGTATCAGACTAGCAGAACTAATGACAATCATAGTTCAGTTCAATAGTCAATGTCTACATAAACTAACACTGTCTAGACGAATATATATGATCATGAAAAATTTACTGGAATAAAAACTACTTCTTTTTTTAAAAAAGAGACAATCTCATTTTAGTTAATAAATTTTATGTGAAGTTAGTTTTTTGTTGTTGATATTATTATTATTACTATTATTAGAATGGTTCTTAATTAGATTTCGGGGTTGTGAAACCTGGAAGCACTGGACGGTCTCTGTAATTCTAATGATGGTCTAACATTGATCGATTCGCGATTTCAAACTGTGTAACTTAACAATCTTCACAACCCTGTAATGCAATTACCTTCGCTCACTAGTGACTAGCTCTGTGAGGAATCGTCTCCGAGTTCTAGTGAGAAGTCGTGACCAGTGAAGTTCAACCTATTAGGGCGTAGACAGTATGAGGTTGCTCAAGACTGTGAATTGATCGAAGTTAGACATTAACACCATTAGATAACGGCTCAATGATCCAGAGGTTAGGCATTCGCACGCAAGACTGAAGTTTCTGCGAGGTGCAGGAGTCGTGGATGTGCAGTGTTAATGAATCCCATACCTGGACGAAACGGTCGTCCAGTCATTCTTGATTGGTTTAGAGGAAATAATACAAGAGTATAGATGAGACAGTGAGAGCAGACATAGAAGTAAGTAGTTAGGAAGAAGAAGAATAAGTACCAACCGATCGAAGAAATGAATATCTCATCAAGAGACGAAAGAAGGGGGATCTTAGCAAGAGTCGGAATCCTGGAGGCATCACACTACTATCAGTACTAGAAAAAGTCGTCAATACAGTGTTGCTAAACTGAATGAAAGATTTAGTAGACAATCAACATCCAGAGACTCCGTATAGAATGATTGTGTACCGATAGAATAGCGATACTACAGATTGTTGTGGAACAATTAGTTGAGTGGAACTCACCGTATAATATCAATTTCCTTCATTACTATTTATGAGAAAGCATTCGATACCTTAGACAGGATGACAATATGGAGGCTTCTTCGACACTACAATGTGCCTAAGAAGATAGTCAACATCATAAGGAATCTTTATGACAGACTAAACTGGAGAATCGCGCATGGAGAACAGGCCACAGGTATATTCCAAATGAACACCGGTCTCACACAGTGTTGTTTACTCTCACACTTTCTCTTTATTTTAGTGGTTGACTTGATTATGAAGGCGTCAGAATCTGAGGGGAAGCATGGAATACAGTGGACAGCTCGACTGTAACTGGAAATGATGGCCAATGTAATAGCAACCTCTGCATTAGTATGTCTCAACATGAACAAGGGAAAAAGTAAGATACTCCGATAATACATAGCCACAATCAGCACAGTCACATTTGATAGAGAAGCTCTGGGTAGCCCTATCGATAAATAAGGTGGATTCGATGCAAATGTAAAGACATGGATTGTCTAGAGCATCTGGAATTCAAAACATTTATATCAACTAACAATACAGTCAGAATTCGCAAAGCAAATATCAAGTCACTTCTTTCGAGGGGGATGAGACTTGGGGGACTACCACATGATACAGCTATTTATAAACAGTTATCTTCATAACATACTCTGAATTCGCTAGCCAGGCATCATCAGCAACAACCTACTGTGATAGAGGACAAACCAGATTCCAGATGAGGAAGGAGTAAAGAAGAAGCGTTAGAGTTGGTGGATAAAACATACATTGTGGAAATTATTCACCTACCTCACGAGACAAGCCCTAAAGTGAAATGTTCAAGGTCAAAGGAAAAGAGCCAGTCCAGAGAACATATTGCTTAGTGAGTTGAAGACAGACATGAAATTACTGAATAGTAATTGAGGACAAGTGGAAATGGGAGTCTGGTACAGTGTTGGTTAGAGATTGCTGGTCGGTGACCTATGTTTCATACAATAGGAGTTACAAGGTGTGAGTAATTTGTTTATAGACCAAATTTATTAGTTATAAGTAACAGAAGTATACTGTCAATTGAATTTTTTCAACGATTCACATTATGGATTTTGGAGAAAAAACAGAGTTTTCTTAATTTTTCTATACAAGTGAACTATTTCATATCATATAATCAACAGAAAGTATCAATAAGTGATTTAGTTCACTTTATAAGTTGACATTTAAATAATTCCCAGTTGACATTTTCAAACATTTATCATCAGCTGAACATTGTATTCGAGTTTGTAAAGAGAATCAATTAAAACACTAAAAGTTTAAGTCAGTCAATCAGTCAGACAACAGCACTGTTGAACTTCGTACGTACGTACGTACATCAGTTCAAGTTGCCACAGCACACTAGCACAGAGGCGCAATTATCAATTCAAATCCCATCGTAATAGAGGTAATGAATGTATTAGCAGTAATCGGAGAGATTAGGGTTCAAAGGAATTAGAACAACACATATAAGCGAACAACAATGTTTTCAATTAGATAGTCATCAGGCTTTACTCTAATATATATACATGAATATTTATACGAAAATGTTTAACCAATCAGGGCAATTTGAGTCAATGATCACAATGAAAGGAAATAGATTACGTCACTACATACATAATAGACGAAAGTATAAATTGATCATAGGAAGACAGGTGTACTGATAGTAGTAACGATTACAAAAGTTTCATCAATAGTAGGTCAAACGTGGATAAATAGACTTTGAGATGGTGGAGAAAACTTGTAGCTCAGG